ACCGATGAAGCAATCTTTAGGTGACAAACAGACGCCCTGTCCGCACAGATGGATGGCCAGCCGTCCCATTTGGGAGTGTTTTTGGTCACTCGTAGGGGCGAAAAGTTAATATGAAAACAAATGGCGTGATTTGTCCAAATATGCGGTTAAATAAGAATGTACATATTTAACACCACCGTTCTTCGCCTAAAACGCGTTACTTTTTAAGAAAACCGTAATATCACTCAGCGCGAGTGACCATTGGAGCATCATGAGTGACCGATTTTTGTGCCCCCGGCCGTCCCAACTGGACACTTTTGGTCGAAGTCACTCAAAAAGATTTTCGCTTTAGCTTAACGACTATTGCATTATGTACTTACAATTGTGGAATCGATTCCTGCTAAATGTTGACGGTATTTTCAACTAGGAAAATGCATTCAAGATACATGTTAAGGGTTGGTTGTAAAAGAACATTCTGAGTGATCAATTGTCGTCCAAAAAGTGTCCAATTGGGATGACCGAAGGGACGAGCAAAAGTCACTCCGGTGGACACCTTTTGGTCACTCGTGCGAACAGGGGGTCCTCACCAGACGTCCACTAATTTCCTCCACCGGTCGGTTGGAGTTAGAGGACGATGGTGTTCTGCTGAAATTGCTAGAAAACATCCAGACGCTGTGCAAACTGAACACAGTGATGCACATACGACTGTCACCAAGTGATTGATAGCCCCATACTTATCACAAGGCTGCGTATGTCGTGATCCCTGTTATCCGCCGAAGGGTGACGAACAAGGTTATTCAGTTCGTGAGGAACAGTATGAATACAAACTGACCACGAACTAGATCTATCACCATGACCACCATCATCGTCAACAGCATCAGCCATTTGAACTAATGCTTCGCTGCCGTACAACCACATTGATCTACGGAACGAAGAATAAAGAGGGAGAGTAAGCGGGCTAGCGGAAAACCCGAATGCATTAGGCTAACGTTCAGAGCTAAGGTGCCTACACATTGTCAACGGTAAAACGTCACAAACAGCTGGTTATAGTGCAAAGGTAAGGCAGCATCAACGAGATAGCTTCCTTGCGGCTTTCACTGCCCAGCGTCATAATCAGCCATTTGCCCGCAAATAACTAAGCACCAAACACCCTTTAAAAAGGCAGTCCGAATAAAAGAGGACAGCAGACTCGCTACTGGTGTCGACTGCGAGCCATGTCCTGTAAAGTCCCGAGTCAAGCACAAGGCGAGTCACGCGGACTCCAGCCTGGAAGGTGGGACGGAGCAACAGTAAAGTCAATTTTTGCCCACATCAAGCTTTGCGCTACCCTATATCTGGCAATCAAAACAAGACCCTCCTCGGTACGCGATGACCGGGCATATGTAATGCGTGTCCAAACCAACGCAACTTATCCGGTAGTATCCGTTAGTTTAAGAAGAAAGTCTGGTTATCACTGCCTAGCACTCACCTACGCACATCGTTTTTGCGGACAGGTAGGTGAAAGCCGACACCAGCAACGCTTGGCAGGCAGCGATGGTCAAAGAGTTGAAGTCGTCTCGAATCCTCAGACCTAAGGAGCTACGTCCCATTCCCATAGACAGCAATCAATGTGGCCTTGTAAACACAGACTTTCCGACCAAGGAAAACCCTTTCTGATACCAAAGAAGTCGTAGATGCAAGAAGGCAATTCTGGTTTTCGCAATACGTGAACTGACTTCATAAACTATGCGCCCATCGTTGCTGACGCAGCTTCCGAGGTAAGTGAAGTAATAAACTACCTGGAGTCCCACGCTAATTATGATCAAGGGATCATCCACTGTCTGGTGGTCTTGTAACAACCCTTTGCACTTTGAAGGCGCGAAGCATATGCCAAAAGGTGGGACCACTCAATGTTGACTGGGCTATCTCAACATCGCTAAACAGCAAGACAATATCGTCCGCACAATCAAGATCAATCAGTTCTGCACCATACAACACTTCAAGGCCTGAATCATGAGATTCCCCAAGGGAACACTCCATGATGGAGTCTACAACGCAAAATGGACAACCCTGAAAAAAGCAAACTATTGTCGGGAAAACATTTGACAAATCACCGTAGATCCTGACGAGGACGGTGGTGTTCAAACATTGGGCACGTTTTATAAGAACACCTTCACGCGTATTTATTTCCAACAGAATGGACCTATTCAGATGCACTATTGAAACTGTCGGTGTGGGACACATGTAACGCTGTTCTAACACCTACCGCATTGTGAACATGCGCCCCCTAAAACCCAATCCTGGGCTGAAATCTGCTTGTGCTTCTCAATCCATCGGGATTCTCGTTCCCCAGCGGGGCGACTAACGAGAATTGAGGCCAGTAACTTTTTCAACACCGGCGTTAGGCTAAGACACCTGTGGTTAGCACATTCGGTGCGACTGCTTTTGGAATATGTCACTAATATCCATTCACACCAGTTAACAGGCATGATCTCTCGCTTTAAATCTATTCGAACATGAGTCAGTGCTTTGCAAAGGACCTCGACATCACCCTTGTATAGTACTGGTTCAAGGGATTCCGGACAATCAGCTTGAAAACTCTTGAGGGCTGTAATAGCGTTTCGGACCTCCACATCAGATGGAGCCTCCAAACTAACGTGCCATGGCTCAGTCTTCACCACCTGAACAGGAGGAGACCCAGAAGCAGAGAAAGAACTGAGCTGCTCTCGAAAGTGCTTCGCCCAACGAACCATGCGACGCTCCTTATGGTGAATCATGGCACCCGTGTTGTCTCTGATTGTCTCACTGATGCTTGGTTTCCTGGGACCAGTGATCCGGATCCGCTGGAAGAGCTTGCAGTTTTGCCTACTGCCCCCGGCCTCATCCATTTCTTGAGTCATACCGATGTACCAGATCCCCTTGTTAACACGCAGGCCTCAATTTAGTTCGCGTCTAATAGTCCCTCTGGTTACGTTGTGCTCAGAGTTAGAAAGGAGTTTTTACTGGACTGCAACAGGTACACCAGCGTGATCAGAGTCGACAGTGAGCGACAACACATGATTGAACCACGACACTAGTAACTTAGGATGATGTGATCGATTTGAGTCCATCGCTGGACAGCTATAGAGGACGCCAAGTGGCGCTTCGGCGCCCAATGCGTCTAAAAGCAGTGCTAGTAAGAAACAGCTGGTGCATCGCCCACAATTGATACGGCCACTCGTTATCTGTGCACATTTATATCTCCTGCAACAAGAACAATATCTGAACTAGTAATACTGCGAAGCAACGTGATCAACTCGTGGTAGAAGGCGTCCATGGCAGAAGCAGAAATGCGGTCGGTGCAAACGTATGCTAAAATAGTAAGCAGTGTCTATGACTAGATCGTAAATCAACCTTATTTGATGTCTTTAAACGGGCTGCACATAAAGTGTTGCTCGCGGAAATCCAAGCAAGCAAATACTACAGCTTTGGGGCTAAGAACAATGTCCACTCCTGATTGACCAGTGGTTACCACATCAGCGTCTCCGGTTGCGTGCAACCAAAAGCGAGAGGACAAACCGAGTGCAATTAGTTCAACAACCCCGTCAGGGACAATGATCCTAATTTCGAACAAGCAACACACGTGAATACCAAGGGTGTGCGTGCGTGCGAGTGCAGCCTGTTGACCTATTTGCCTTACAAGGGACAGTTTCCGATAGGCGTCCAGTAAGTGATGCGGGAAGATGCTTGAAGATGATTCAACTCCAGTGGTATTGTGACTGTTGTCAATTAAGCTGGGAAGTAAGATTAGTGATGGGGGTTAGGATGGGAGTAAGAGAAACAGATGGAGAAGTAAGAAGGGAGGTACGAGTAGTAGCATGTTTTCACATATCCGCCTTTCCGTTTGCAGCAGATAAGGCGGCCGTTGGAAAGCTGCTCGACGTACGATGCAAGTTGCGGTTAAGGTTTGGTGGAAAAATTATGGTTGTACATGGGCTGAAATATTGTAAGGGCGTCTGGACACAGACAGGAGAACGATTACGGTCCTCAACTAAAGTCGTTGGCTCAAGAGCCTGTACGCAAGACAACGAGGTGGTAACGATTCGGTTCTACAGAAAGTGAGGGCATCTCATTTTCAACTCCCAACCTAGAAGACCAGGAGACTGAGTTCGTCAGACCTGTAACCATCGACCAACCCGGGAGGAGTGGCTTCCAAGGTTCCTGAGGTCAGCATCTATGATAGCTCAATGGGTCAAAAAGGTACACAAACCGTCACACGACACTGAGGTACAGTCTCCTCGTGACGGGCTCATGCGTTCAAAGACAGCACGGATGTGTACGTACACATTACCTCGTCAGCGACTTGGTTAAGTTTATTACTGAACTAGATAATCCTGACTTCTTGTGGCATGAGAATATCAGGGTCTGTTTCCAGGAAGCTCATATTTCCCTCCTTGGGGTAAATCGTTATCTCAAGCACTGCGTAATATCAAGATCACTTCTATGAGCAACTGGTTGGCACGGAACATCAAATGACGTAGTGTAAATGAGGATTATCACATCGCTAGCACTCCGTATGTGTGTTGCGTTACTGGTAAGCAGAAACTAATTCAGACGCCGTAATGCAAAAGTGGTACACTGGATGTACGGACGCTGTAGTTGGAGACAAAATGCGACCATAGATACAAAGTGCGGGAAAGTAGGAACCTCTGAGATTACCGCCGGGGACATTTGGGTCGGAAAACTCGCTGTTGTACCTGGCGCATATTTCGTATGGTGTATAACGTCCGCAACTTCTTGTCTACAAATAATAATTTCTCGGTGCTATTTGCGCGTTTTGTGAGACAAATAGCTGTCGGTATTGTAAGTAAAAGCGGGATAGCGGGATTAAGCAAGGAGATATAGGGAACGATATGACCGTCTGGTTTGCATCATAATGTATGTCCCGTCCTACGTCAGATTGATCGGACGCCTATCGGACACTCGTTCCGATAGAGTCATGATACTTTATTTAATCGTACATGTATCTCGATACGCGCCTTCAAAGTTAGAATACCACTAACCTGGTTTGCCTTGTTAAACTGTTTTTTGAGGCCAGCAAGCGACATCACACTGACTCTCAACGATTAGTGCGGGTGAATCTCGATTCACTGGAGAACTGTTGTATGCGTCCGGCCGAGGGCTCCGAAGGACTTGGAGTCGTAAAAGACCGGGGGGCTGAAATGCAAAAGATATACTTTGTAGGCGGATGGACAGTTTTATCACATCGATCTAGTGAGAGACGGAGCTGGGTGAATGGTGCGCCTGACTTACACCTCGTGGCGAGCTAGATGCCGTTGTCACAGCTGCCGTTGGAGTAGCGAGTCGGAGGCGACTAGATGGTTGGCGTCAAAATGAACAGAAGTTAACTACGTTAAGTAACATGGAAAACGAAATATGGAAGCAAAGACAAGAGGAAACGAGAATGGCCCTCCAAAATAGGCTCGAAAAGCTCTTACCTGTTGGCTTGCAATAAAGACACTCTGAAGAGCTACATTATCTCACCCACTAAGGAGGCACTGTCTTCAGCGCCAAAGAAGCCCTAATCGGTGTCGATCTGCTGGCGAACAGAAAGAATGATGACTGCTGTGGTAGGTTCGGAGAGTTCAGTGTGACGTAAAGCTAGTGTTCGCTGGAACGGCCGCAGTGCTACTTCAGAGATGGGCATTGGAAGCTGGTAGGTGCGCTAAATACGTAGGATGCGTCCGGTTGATGGTTCCAAGGGATTCCGTAAGTTGTAATAAATCGGGATGGGGGGCTGAAATGCAAAACAGATACTTCAAAGGCGGATGGAGAGTTTCATCACAACCATCCAGCGAGAGACGATGGATGATGTATGCATATGACTAACAGCTCGTGGCGAGATGGAAGCCGTTTTCACAGCTGCCGTGGGGGACTGAACCTGAAATGACTGAATATTTCACTGGATTGTAGAGAGCAGAAAGGAGATCTTTTGTCAGCCTCATTGTTTCCCACTCAATGTAACGATGAAGTGAGTTGTTGCGGAACAGTGTACCAAAAGGGACTTCTAAGGTCGCAGTGAATGAATGATTCATGTTTGCCCAGTAAATAGATGGCTAGCAATCACCAGAAACCTTCATCGGTATGTGCACTGACGACTAGCTGAGGTAGTGTTTTAGTCATTTATCACACGAGTTAACAAAGTCACATCGGAACGAACTCGAAGCCTCCTCGATTTAAACAGCTACAAACAGTGACTTCGTGTCGAACGATCAGCACGAAAGTGAAAAACTTGCAAATGAAGTCATCTCACTTAGTAGAATACGTCCGGCGTACATCAAGTCACCACAACGACGAGGATAGTCTAGGGATAACGTTAATTCTTCGAAGTCGATGAAAGGCAGGTTCCTAACTGTCGAGACGGATTTCGATCGCTGCCGCCCAAACTTTTCTATCACAGCACATTCGGTTTGTGTGAGAGGATAGGATGTTGGTAATCCGTACTCAAGTATCGGACACGCATGAGAGCTGAAGAGCTCCGAAGTCACTTGGGAAAATATCTCCTTATAGCAAAAAACCTCCTACTGGCAGCGGTAAGTTTCTTTAATGTGTCCTGGATTGTATGTAGGTTTGGCGAAGCAAGCACCCCAAAGTCCTTCTCGAAGATTACGTTTCTGAGCAGGCGACAAATAAGGGATCAGAGGAGCCAATTTGGAGGACAGAACACTTATTATTGTTGACAGAAATGCCACCATAATAACCAGCCGTTCAACCGGTCCAGCGCTGTTTGTAGCTGACCAGCATCCTCAAGTTGGGAGATCTCCAGTCATAGCTTTAGATCATTAAAATAAACCAAGCAATTTGTTTGGAGCCCTAATGGAAGATCATGGATGAGGATTTTGATGAGCTCAGGACCAAAGAGAGAGTACTGTGGGACTTCTCTGAGTATAAAAACAGGAGCGGAGGTATCATACTCCTTCACTTGCATGCTATAGCCACTCAGAACGTCCGCGATCGAAGAGAGGATCTTTCTGAGGACGCCAATTTCCCGGAGTTTGAGAGACGTCCACGAAGGACTAGGTCAAATGCCTTGCTGAAATCAACAAAAACAACATCAAAGCGATTTCCGGCATCTATTGACATCGCCCGATTCTCGTGGAAAACAAACAGATTGGTGACACAAGAGCGTGCTCTCCGAAAATTGTGCTGAACAAAAATAATGAGATCCAGAACCTCGAGATGAAGCTGAAGGGCCGGTTCAAAAATCATTGCATTGATCTCACGAATGATCGGTGACAATCAAATCGGCCGGTAATTCCCAGGATCCTGTCGGTTTCTTTCTTTGTGGACACGCTACACCATACCGATTTTCCAATCAAGCGCGATGCAAACAGCTTAGAGGGAGTGCCAAACCAATTGGCAGATTGGCTCGGCGACATTCTCTCAGCTACTGACTGGGGATCAGTGGATGTAAATCATCATGGCAATGCGAGGAGTTCAGGCTTAATTCGTGAAGTGGTAATTACGATGTGCTCCAAGGAAGTGGGATAGGTGCGTACAGTTACCGACTAGCGGGACTTCAGCTGAGTACACTGAGGAATATCGTGAGGCTAGAAGACAAGCTTTCGCCTCGTAGTCACGAAGTAAAAATTCATCCTCTTAAGAAAACAAAGTTACGCAACAACCCGTCTTAGAACTTCCTTCCAGATACAATTAGAGATATTTCGGGCTTCCCCGTGATGGTTCAGACAAGACAAATTTATACTGCTCCTGCATCTCTCGTTTTCTCAGTGTTCACAGGTTAAGGATGACAATAATCAGACGCCGACCGTGAGGACTTGAATCTGGTCCAGAGTTTTCGTCTTTTACGCATTAGGGATCACGGTTCACTATGAAGTGAACGGAACTATCAATCCAAAAATGACGTTTAGAAAAAGGTCTATTGGCAAACGTTGGTACAAGTTGATCGAGAAGAGATCAATTTGAAGTGTACGAGGTTCCAAGCAGTATCGATATCTAGATTCTGTAGGTGTTCCAGAACATAGGGGTGGCGACCATTTGTAGGGGGAGTAGACCAGTGCACCAGCAGTTCCGGCGATGAAGATGCAGGTGATGAGTAGTGGTGCCTATAAAAAGGAAAGCATACAATTGTCAAATGACCCAAGCGGCTGGAGAATCTTTATCTATCTTTATTTAGTCTTTATATTATATTATTTTTTGATTTTTTAATCTTATTTATTTTATTTAGTATTTTATTATTTATTTATTATTTATCTTTTATTACTTTTATTTACTTATTAGCTTCCTATCGTATTTAAATCAAAATTTACGCTTAAGGCACTGAAATCAACCATTATTAAGTAATACTTGAACCTGAGGTGCATTTTATCGAGTCAAGTAATCGGGATGCAGAACCCAGTGAAGGTCTGTAAAAAACAAACATGAGTGAATTGTGTCCGTTTGCACATGATACCAAAGCATTTCGGAATCCCCAACAGTGTCACAAATAACATCTACGGCATGAACACTCAAACTGGACGTCTAGTGGGGTGACACCACATCCAGAACTGATACCAGGACAAACAGCTCGAGAAAACTGATAACCAGGAAGGTGTGTTTCAGAATCAGGAATATCCGGTGACAGTCAGTTCACAGTAAATACCATAACGCTAGAAGGATACCGTAAAGTGAGAAGATGAATCTCATCGCAGGCTACGCAATCTGACAGACATCACACGCAGTCCAATCTTACAACCTAGAGCCCGAGTGCGACAACGACTGGCCACCATCGAGCTGCCCGATAGCTTCGAAACGCACGAAAATTCACAAAATGAAGATTAGCTTCGCAATTGGCTCGGCGAGTTCGCAGCTTATCAACGGTGTTCTGTATCCTCATGCAGACGCGATGCCCGCCTGAGGATACCATGACATTCCACTTCATCCTGGCAAACGGTTTTCAGCGAACGAACATTGGAAGTCATCCTGCTTACTGCAAAGGAAAAACGCAGAGACGACATTGATCCATTGTTCACCTTCGTTGAATAGTATAGAAGCCTTTCGATTCAGGAAAACTTAGTCATCCACTATCCTCTCGGCAGGCGTTTTTCTACTAGATTCGAGAGCGATAAAGATGACAAAACAAAGTCCATGAGGAAAATATATGCTTCCCTAGGAAGCAGGCGACCTTTGAGATTTAGGGGGTGCCTTGACTAAGTCCGCCAGTTGACCCATCCTGTCAGGACCGAGCTTCATGTGAGAATGTAAATAAATGAGCTGGCTTGTACTCCTCTTTGCCGGAACCCCGCACCAAGATGCACCTTAAAAAATTTTCGGCATCGTGCTCTGACTCACTACCATAGCATATATCTCACATCGACTACGATGTTTACTAGTCGCCAAAAGTTCCGGTGATAGGATCAATCAACAACAACAGCAGTATATCAGCCCCTTGAACTGATGCTTCGTTGCCATACAACCATGAGGACCTATAGAATAAAGAATAATAAGAAGGGGGATTTACCGGAAAAACTTAATGCCCTAAGCAAACATTCAGGGTCAAGGAGCCTACACCTAGTGTTAACAACATACCGTCACAAACAACTGGCTATCGTACAACAATAACGCGGCATCGGTGAGACAGCTTTCTTGTGGCTTTCACTGCCCAGCGTCATAATCAGCCATTACCCCGCAGATAACGCAGCATCAAACACACTTTAAACAGGCAACCCGACTAGGAGATGGCAGCAAACGCGCCACTGGTGCCGACTGCGAGTCATGTCCTGTAAAGTCTAGAGTCAAGCACAAGGCGGGTCACGTGAACTCCAGCCCGGAAGGCGAGACGGACCAACGGCACCCAGTTTGGTCATCAGTGACTCCATTTCCCGCTGCGAAGTCAACTTCTGTCCACCTCGAGCCTTGCGCCACCCTACATCTGGCAGACTATACAAGGCCCTCCTAGGTAAGCGGTGACCAGGCATACATAGCACGTGCCCAAGCCAATGCAATTTATTCAGTGCAATCTGTTGTTCCAAGGAGCTAGCATGATTATCACTACCTAGCACTCGGCTATGACATCATCTTTGAGGACACGTTGGTGCCATCCGACACCAGCAATCCTTAGCAGACAACCACGATCAAAAACTTGAAGGTGGTTCAGGTCTTCAGACAGAAGGTGCCAAGTCTCAATACCATAGAGCAGGACTGCCCACACAGTGGCCTCGTATACACGGCCTTTCAGACAGAGGGAAATTCTCTTCTGTCGCCAATGATGCCGCAGGTTCAAGAAGGCAGCTCTGGCCTTTGCAATGCGTGAACTGACGTCAATTTCCATGCGCCCACAGTTGCTAATGCAGCTGCCAAGATAAGTGAATTGATCTACCACCTCGAGTTCCTCGTTAGCAAGGGACAAGGGGTCATCAAGTGGCTGGTGGTACTGTAGCAACACTTTGCACTTTCAAGGTGCGAAGTGTGTACCAAATAATTGGACCACTCTAAAGAGGCTATTCAGAATCAATTGTGCCGAGGCGACATACTTAAACAGCAAGACGATTTCGTCCGCATAATGAAGATCAACTAACCTTTCACCAGGCAGGACCACAATGACTACATTGTGAGATTCCGTAATGGAACACGCCATCATGGAGTCCACGACGAAAGTGAACAAAAATGGGGAGATCGGACAACCCTGACGAACGCCACTTGTGGTCGGAAAGCTATCCGATAGGCCCCCGTCGACCCCGATGCCGCC